GAGGACTGTAATAACAATGATGATTCTCTGCCTCCACTCCCAAGTGTGGGGTGAAACCTGGAATGTGCATGTTTAATAAGCTTACTGGGTAGTTCTGTCCCAAATAGTCCATAAATCCCTATATGAAAAACAGTCCTGAACTTTCATGGAAAAAGGACAATTAATTGCAGGAATTCATCACAGAGCCACTTGAACACTAAAAAAAACAGAGAAGCAAACAGGCAAAATGTTGCAAAGCACCAGAGCTGAATGATGTATACGCTTCATGCATAAATGATCCGACTGGACAGTCACATCTCAATACACACGTGGCATGGCAGAACTGTTGAAGAGGAAAGGTGTTTCTGAATCTGAGACGGGGTGTTCCACCCCATACAGATGACCCATGTCTAGCACATGAAAATAAGGATGTGTTTACATCACATTTATAAAGGGTGAGAAGGAAACTTGGCCATTTGTTGGGTGTGTGACAGTTATTTTGCCTCTCTAGCTTCCAAACTCTAAATGGAGGAGACTACAACCTACCTCAAGGATATCTGTCAAGAGTAAATGATCATACCGTATTTTAATAAGTTCTCTGTAAGCCACAATACATCAAATAAACAAAAACCAGTACAATGATAATCTATTGGAGGTTACCAACTTTCTTAAACACTGTTGACAAGCTTTTTGTAAGCACCTTGCTGAGAGGCTGGCGAGAATGTCCGATTAAGTGCCATTAAGTAGCATGCCAAAAAGATGTGGGAAACAGCTGACTGGTGAAATCAGGAGCATTTACAGAACATTCCAGAGCAATGCAGGAAAACATCGCTTTTTCCAATAGTGGCAAAGGGGGAGAAAGGAGAGAAGGCTCAGCATTCCAGGGTATAGTTCTATTTTATGTAAATTACCCCTAGTAAAGTATAGATGCACTTGGGCTAAAGCCACAGGGAGAGTCTAGCAGCTTGTTTTTCAACTGCTGCCCCCGGAGGTGACCGGGGACTGCTGATCTTACACTAAGAACCCAGGGGAGAATTTGGGGTAGTTTCTTCAAAGAGGCTGGTCCAGGAAAAGGGACAGTGGCTTACTCACGTGTCCAGGAATCTAGGGCTTAGCTTAGCTCCTTTTGGACAAGGAAGAATATATGAACTTGTCTGTTTTTGAAGGGGGTGTGGGTGGAGTTAGTGAAAGATGGAAGGTGGTATTTCCCACTGCAGTTCACTTTGAAAAGTGCCAATCTTGTTTAATTCAACATGAAAAGAAAGAACAGACTCGAAGAGATGGTGAGAGGAACGAATGCCCGGGAAGGCCTGACACAGCAGCAGGAGCGCTCTCTGGGCTAAGCGGTGAGAAGGGACCAGTTCCAGTCTGGGAGACGGGTGGGAACACTGGAAACGAAAGAGCTCAGTTGGAACTGCTGATTCTCTCCTGTATCCCCCAGGCTCCTCCTCCCAACCTGAACTTGTTTTTGTCAGGAGCTGTACTTTCCTCGTGTGTGTGTGTGTGTGTGTGTGTGTGTGTGTGTGTGTGTAATCTTTAAAAGGAAAAACGTGGGAAGGTTATGTTAGGTCAGGAGAAAGTTTCGAATATAGAGACCACATTTTTTCCTTTAATATGCCGCCAATCAAGTTGTCGCTAGCTGATGGGTGGGTTCCTATATGTCATAAAGAAAATCATCTGGTCACCTTTTATTTCTACAGTGTGCACAGTGACATTTATGGGGTAGAGAATTAAAATGACAAGTGGGGAGAGCCTATTAAAAGAAAATATGCCTCCAATATGAAAAAAGTAGTACCTATTCCTCATCGGTATATGGGCTATACCTTAGCACATCACGTACAATTACAGAAAAGCAAGGAATGAGCATGGAAAATATGAGCTGGTCAGAGAGGACTGAGTAAGAATCCAAATCTAAACGCAATGCTGGGAACACAAAGCGTTCCTGTCCATTTTAGAGGGGACTGTGATATAAAAAGAAACTGAGAATGATAGTAGTATGAAAAGAATTTGAATATTACTCTGAGAAAGTGAAATATATTTTAGAGAGAGAAAGAGATAGACAGACAGACAGACACTGATTTTTGTTGTTCCATGTATTTTTTTAATGCATTCATTGGTTGATTCTTGCATGTGCCCCGACTGGGGATCAAACCCACACCCTTGGAGTACCCGGATGATGCTCTAACCAACTGAGTTGCCCAGCTAGGGGAAAAGTGAGATATATTTTATTAAGCAGCTATTTCTGAGGTCAATTTCTTTATGCATTAGTTATGTGGTTCCCACCATTAAAGTAAACATAGCTGAATATAAGGAAAATAAAGATATTTTAAAGATATTTCAGGAAACGAAAGAATGGAATTTAGTAGGGAAGTCATATGTAATGTTGTATAGAACAAACTGAATTATAGCTAATATGAAACTCTAAGGCAGGAAAGTAGCATTTGGCTAAAAGAAGGGGCAAGGAACAGGCGATACACAGCAGATGGTCTCTGTGATGCCACAGAAACAGGCTTTTCAAGTTTCCTATCAATGACTTGGGGAGGGGTGCTATAAACAAAATGATGAATGAGCTCTGCCTAAAGAAAAGGGAAATAAGGAGAAAAGAACCTTGATCCTGAAAAAGACTGGGAACCCTACTTACACGTGAATGAAGTCAACTGATCAGCAGGGGGTATACAGAAGTGGTAGAAAGACAATGAAATTTACTGTATCACATTCTTAAGAAAACAGTATTTAATAATAGTAGAAACTGGTTAAATTTGGTTACAGAGAAATAATTTTGAACATTAAAATGTAACAAGTACATAACTTAAATTACTGCAAAGCTCAAATTCGACACCATCTGTCAGGCAGCGCGGTTACTGAGGTCAACGGCCAGCTCCACATACCTGCAATCCAGAGACATCTAACAGCTTTTTAAGCCGAGCAGTCTTAAAGATCTGCCCAGGCAATCCTGGCAAATGCTGCTAACAGTAATATGGCTAACAGAATTGCTAGAATTGTAAGCATTTATTTACTTGCTCTCCTGACTGCCTGCCAGAAGGGCTAATCAGCAGAAGTGGCCACGAAGCAGAAGCGAGATGAAGCGGAGGCCATGAATAATCCATTGGCTGCAGCAGTGGCAGAGGGGCTGTGGTGGCCGCGTGGTGACGGTGTCGGACGGGAGCGTTGGCACCCGCACAATTAATAACTGACTGTACTGGCAAAGCAATTACACACTCCATTGTCGACAGTCCTCTGTTTTCAGAGGACTGTCATTACCTAACATTTCATCATTGAACGTACACAATTATCTATTTAAGAACGTAAGTGGGTTACCGTTAGAAAGGGTCACTTGAGACTATTGAGAAGTTAAAACTATCCATTAGTTTTAAAATAAAGAGGAAAGAATGTATACAAGAAAGAAGGGAGCAAGAAATATAGGTTAAAATGATGATTTATGTAAAGAAGTTACATGGTACAAGTATAGCAACTTTTTCTCACTCCATAAACAAAATTGAGAACAAAGGGCAATATGTTACATTTGGATCTATTTGCCTGTTTTTTCTTTTAACATTTTTTAAAGAAATGTGATCACTCAAAAAAAAAAAAAAAAAAAGATGTGATTGTTTTACATTCTCCCTGCACAGAAAGGTCAGACATCTGTAAGGAATGAAACGGAAAAAATAAAAAAGCCTGTGCAGCTGCAAATTCCATGAGAATCCATATGAATTTAACAAAAATAATACCTTAGCTTAATCAATTCTGGTTAAAAACTCATTAGCTCTGTGTACTTTTCTGTTATCTGTAACATATGCCAATAAAAAGTTAGAAAAACTCCTTAGTTGAAATACAAATGAAACTGTCAATATAAATCCCCCAAATCAAAGTATTTGAGAGATTTCAGAAGAATAGAGGGCAACCCCCAACCCCAGCAAAACAAAACAAAACAAAAAAAAACCAAACCTAGAATAATGCTAATGGATAAACGCATTTTGTGAGTCCCAAAGAACCCAATAATACTGGTAATAGGTTTTTGGGACTGAAAAACCGAAAAATGAATCCTCATGGTGGTTACAGGTGCTTTACCTAAAGGCGACATTAGCAAGAAAGAAATGACCTTTAAAAGGCAAAAAACATATAGTGAAACAATGCCCTTCCCCAGTACGAGAAAATGAAAGCACAGCTGTGAACCCACACCTAGGTAACATGGCTCTCCCCCAGGCCTGCCTGGGATCCCCCCACCCAGACCCCCAGCAGAGAGCATTCACCTCTCAGGTCCCCTGGACGCAGCACTTCGGGGGAATTCCATTAACTGTGGTGGGCTGGGTGGAAACAACTTTGTTTCTCCGGGTCTTAAAAAGATCAAACTGTTCTGTACAGAGAACATTTTGAAGGTTGCCAGAGGAGAGGGGTGTTGGGTGAACAGATGAAGGGACTAGGAAGTACAAACTAGTAGTTATAGAACAGTCATGGGGATGTAAAAGTACAGCATAGGGAATATAATCAATAGTATTGTAATAACTATGTATGGTGCCAGATGGGTACTAGATTTATTGGGGTCATCTCTTAGTAAGTTTTTTAATGTCTAATCACTGGGGTGTACCGCTAAAACTAATATTAATTGAAAAAATAAAAAATTACTTTAAAAAAGGTGACTGTCCTAGGAATGAATTAACGTCCCCCACTCTCCCAACAGTCACGCTATAAGGATGCAGTTGTCTAGATGTTAGCATGCTGGATACAAACGAGACACCAGAGGAACATAACCGGTGTGCAGATATATCCACGCCACCCAGCTGTCCATGGGATCAAAGATTGCAGAACTTCATCATGTACCTAGCCCTCTCTTTAACAACACTGCATATTTGGGGTATGTCTCCCACTAATCACCCAGTTCCAATGGTGAATATGGATTCTCCGGGCTATACTGATATGACATGGGATTCCACCTTTAGCTCTAAAACACATATGAGAAAGAACAGCTGACTAGCATTTGTTAGTGCTGATACTATTTTATTTCGATCTTTACAAACACTTACCTCTTTGACACTATGTGTTACTGCCCATATTAGAAAAACTCTTGACATCACCTGGAAAGAAGTCAGGACGACAGAAGATGGGACAATTCCTGAAAGAAATTTTAGGATGGGTAAATAAATGTACTATATTAAGTTTCAACATGAAATAAATGTTCTAAAACATTTAAAATATTAATGTTTGGACACAAAACCATCTTAAACAACTGAAACTTATCTTTATTGCTGTATAAACTATGTTTTTCAATGTAGTAAAAACTACATTAAAAACTTTTCCTCCCTGAAAATAATTATATGGTTAATTACGATAGCAAACCATGGAATCCAGATACCCTTCTTCAGCCTGACCAAGTAAACTATTTTTTACGCTTATCATATAAGCAGAGAAAATTAAAACCACTGCTTCACCTTTAAAATTAGACATTGGAAGTTCATTTACAATATGGGTTTCAAAAATGAATAGGCACCCGTGGAAGAGAAATCAACCAGCTTTGTGTCCAATGAACACTGGAAGCTCCTGAATATCAAACTTGATATACTACCTAATGGTTAAGTTGGTACCCTTTTACAATTCACTTGAAGATTTTGCCAATAAGCATAGCAAAATCAAGTTTGTTATCTTTATAAACCATTTCTTCTCCCCTTGTTTATTACAGTAAGCACCGGTACAATTATCCTCCCAATATCTTCAAACTATAACACTAGAATCATCTTTAATTACTTTATATAATCATCAAGTTCTGCTAAGTTTGCATTTCTTTGGCCTCTTCCTTCAATGCCTACCAACTACGATCTCTATCTAGAAACCTGCCACTACCATTACATACAATTCTTGCCTCCTTTAGGCCACCCTAGACCCAGCAATAAGCCATATCTATAAATGCCATTTTCTCTTTGTCATTTTACACTGGCAAGGGACTGCTACTAAAACAAATCTGAAAGTAGAGTTACGGGCGTCAATCCGGCAGCCCCTCCCCACCCCACCATTTCTCTCCGGCCTTTCAGCTGCTGGCACCAGACTTCCCAGCTTCTGAGACCTCTCAAGTTGCACAAGGCCACTCCACAGTTGCCAGGAACCTCTCACCACAGTCACAGATTCTCCTCCCACTTTAAAACTCACCTTATCTTCAGTACATGCACTGGACTACCCCAGCCCAATCTTTAAGCCCTCCAAAGTACACTCAGACTTCTGAACATTTATACAGTAGGACAAACTACAACTTTCCAAGTGACCGTGCACAAATCAGATAGAGATAACTGCCTCTGTTGGTTTGGCTGTGAAAGGAAATCACTTTATATCTCATTAAGAAAAAGAGAATCTATATCCTATTAAAATAAGTTTCTTAAAGAGGATTTGGGCTTCAAGAGGGATGGTTTGATTCCCAAAAGCAAGTAACATGGATATGTTGAGCAAAGCTTAGCAAATAAAAATGCTTAATAAAGTTCTGTAAAATGAATGAAAGAATAGTATAACTGTATGGACATACAGATCAATGGAATAAAGATGAGAGTCCAGAACTAAACCTTCACATTTATAGTTACGTGATTTTCAACAAGGGTGCTAAGATAATTCAATGGAAAAATAATTGTTTTTTCCAACAAACAGTGCTAGGACAATTGGATAGTCCTGAGCAAAAGAATGGAATTAGAACACTTCCTTATGTCATATACAAAAATTAACTCAAAATTGACCAAAGTCCTAAATGGAAGAGTTAAAACTATAAAACTCTTGAAAGAAAACAGATATAAACCTTTGTGACCTTAGGTTGGGCAATGGTTTATTAGGTACGATACTAAAAGCACAAGAAAATATAAATAAATTGTGCTTCATCAAAATCAAAGTCGTGTGCTTTAAAGGATACCACCATGACAGTGAAAAGACAACCCATGGGTAGGAGAAAATATCTGTAAATTAAGGACTTACATCCAAAATATATAAAGGATTCTGTTTAAAAAATTTATTTATTTTTAGAGAGAAGTAAAGATGGGGAGAAATAGAGTGAGAGAAACATCAATGCCTAAGGGAAACATTGATTGGCCGCCTCCTGCACGCCCCCCACTAGAGACCTGGTCCACAACCCAGGCATGTGCCCTGACCAGGAATTGAACTTTGACCCTTTGGTTCACAGCCTGACACTCAATCCACTGAACTACACCAGCCAGGGAAAAAATTCTTAAATGTTAATGATGAAAAGACAAGTAACCTAATTTAAAAAGTGGGCAAAGGATATGAATAGAGATTTCTCCAAAGAATATATGCACAAGGCCATTAGTCATCAGGGAAATGCAAATCAAAACCATAATAATATACCCTTCACACCCACAAGGATGGCTATAGGATAAAAGATAGAAAACAACAAGTGTTGATGAGGGTACTGTGGTATCAGAACCCTCATACATTGCTGATGGGGTTAAAATGCTATAGCCACTCTGGAAAACAGTCTGGCAGTGTCTCAAAGTGTTAAATGAAGAGTTACCATACAACCCAGCAATTGTACTCACAGATTTGCATATACCCAAAAGAAATGAAAACATATGCCACACAAAGTTTATATGAATGTTCACAGCAGTATTCTTCACATTAGCCAAAGAGTGGAAACAGTAAAAATGTCCAACAGATGAATGAATAAATAAAATGTGGTATACCCACACAACATTAGAAATAAAGTAAATGAAAATAAAAAGTAATAAGTAATAAATAAAAAGAAATGAAGTACTGACACACACTACTGTATTTATGAACCTTGAAAACATTATGCTGAATGAAAAAGCCAGTGACAGAAGACCACATGTTGCATGATTCAATTTATGTGAAAAGTTCAAAACAGGCAAACTAGAGAGACAGAAATATTCCCTGGTGATGCAGACCTGGATTGTGCGGTCTGAGACATTGTGGATGGGGGTGAGGCATTCCCACGGACTACCCAGTCCTGTGGAGGAAAAGGGCTTCACTCTCAAGGGGAACAAAAGCCGTGGCCTCTGCCATGACAGGCCTTTATTTCTTTTTCTCAGCACATTATGTGATGGTCCTCATTTACTAGATCCTGGTTGGCTTTGGTGTTTCCCTTTTACAGAAAACAAAGGAGCCAATGCCACTAATCACAACACAGAAGAAGGATATTTGCAAATGAAAAGGGAAAAGTAGTTGATTCAGTTACACTCATCCTTGGAAGGTTTAGCATGGATTTTAGGAAGTTACTTTGCAGTAAATGTTTGCTGCAATTCAGGGTGAGGGAGTTTTTAGCAAAAACAAGTCTCACAGCGGCCTAGGTACATTGCAGGTCTGATTCCCCATGGGAGAACCTATCCGTGGGCGTGGGACCTGTGCATTTCTGAGTGGGAGCTGGGCCCACGACAAGCAGAATGGTCTCCTACACCTGGCTCTGGAAGGTTAGGAGGAAAATGGAAACTGCCAATGGGTTTGGGGCTTCTTTCTTTCTATTTTTTTTTAAGATTTTATTTATTTATTTTTAAAGAGATGGGAGAGGAAGGAGAAAGAGAGGGAGAGAAACATCAATGTGTGGTTGCCTCTTGTGCACTCCCTACTGGGGACCTGGCCCGCAACCCAGGTATGCGCCCTGACTGGGAATCGAACCAGCAACCCTTTGGTTCGAAGGCTGGCACTCAATCTACTGAGCCACACCAGCCAGGGAAGTATGGGGTTTCTTATAATAGAGGCAAAGCCTTTCTAATAAGAGAATGTTTGGGATTTTAGAGACCCTTCTAAAAGATATTTCAGCTAAAACAAAAAGGCAACCAACTGAATGGGAGATGATATTTGTATAAACAACTCCAACATGGGGTTCATACCCAAAATATAAAGAATTCATACAACTCAACACCAAATAAACAAACAATCCAATTAAAAAATGGGCAGAGGATCCGAACAGACACTTCTCCCAAGAAGATATACAAATGGCCAACAGATATGTGAAAACATGCTCAACTTCACTACTTATTAGGGAGCTGCAAATAAATGAACACAATGAAACACCACCTCACACCTGTTAGAATGGCTCTATTCAACAGTACAGGTAATAAGTGTTAGAGAGGTTGTGGAGAAAAAGGAACCCTCATTCACTGCTGCTGGGAATGTAAACTGGTACAGCCATTACGGAAAACAGTATGGAGGTTTTCAAAAAATTAAGAATAGAATTATCATATGACTGAGCAACCCCTCCTCTGGGTATCTACCCCCCAAATTTGAAAACATTTATTCACAAAGACATATGTACCCTTATGTTCATTGCAGCATTATTCACAGTAACCAAGACATAGAAACAACCAAAATGTCCTTTGATATATGATTGGATAAAGAAGATGTGAAACATATATGCAATGGAATACTACTCGAAAAGAAGAAATACTGCCATTTGTGGCAACATGGATGGACCTTGAGAATATCATGCTAAGTGAAGTAAGTCAGACAGAAAAAGTTAAGAACCATATAATTTCACTTAAATGTGGGATGTGAAACAAAGCAACAAATGAACAAATAAGAAAAACAAACAGACAAAACTCATAGACACAGACAACAGTATGGGGGCTACCAGAGGGAAGGGGTAGAGGGTATTAAAAAGTAAAGGGGGTCAAATATATGGTGATGGAAGATGGTTTCACTTTGGATGGTGGGTACCCAATGCAATATGAAGATCATGCAGTAATGTACACTTGAAATCTATATAATCTTATTAACCAATATTACCCCAATAAATTTAATAAAAATTGAAAAATTTAAAAATCATTTGTTTAGTAAGTATGGCTTAAACAGGGATTTGTGAGGTATGAATATTGCAATTTGGCTGAACACAGGTTTATTACTTATTTCTTCTGTACTGTAAAGCTCTCTTTTCTAGGGAATATGAAAATTTATACAAGGGCTGTCTGGAAAAAGTCCAGCTGTTGTTAATATAATGAGAACAGTTTGCGTAATACTGATGTAACCTGGCAGCCAAGGAGAGTGGAATGGAATGCACATGTATGAACAATGACAGCTTTACTGTAGTAGTCAGTGGGGGTGGTACATACCATTGATAAGCATGTGTACCGTGTGGCTGTCACATTCAAAATGACTGTGTAGAGCAATGAATCT